TAGAAGATCCCCTCTCCACCTCTGCCGTGCTAGTCGGATTGGGAACTAGCTTTGCTAGTAAGTCCATCAGATTTTTGCTGTAAGTAATGGGGAAAGAGCCAGATCGTATATGCTTTCGCAACACGGGAAGGAAATATTGCATACTTTTTTGGGCCTTGTCGAACACTGGCTTCACCTCCTCATGCATACGTCTTGTTAGCTGACGAGAAAGCTGCTCAACTTCTTCTTCAACAGCATCTGCGGAATAGCCGAAAAAGTAGATACTATGCGGCGCGTTGGTTTTTTTTCAACATAGGTCATAATGTCACAAGGCGAGATACTTCCAGCAGCATAAAGCACAGAGTTAAGTTCGTACTCCAATCGGGATCTAACAAGGGAACGATCCCAACTTAAGGTGGCGAATTGGAATAAACCGCATATCATTAGATGCGTCTTGATGAGCTGATTGCAAATCTACCTTCCATATCTGCGACAACGTTATCTGGAAGAAGTTAAGAAACGTTAAAAACGTGAAGTAACGGAGGTTTTAGTGCATAATTCGCTTCAAAATTAAACTTGGGAGTGTATGACTAGCATGATATTGAGTGTACTGACTTCAAGGAATGCTCACACTCTGAAGAAACACAAATAAGTGTTTTTGAACAATTAATTTTCGAGGTATTGCGCTGTATATTTGCCAAATTTGGACTTCTCATTGCTAATAGCTTTTACCAAAGAACTTTAGTTGCTTTTTAGCTGTTCAAAAACATTAATCTGCGTTACTTTTGAATGTAAGCATTCCGTGAAATCAGTACACTCAATATGATGCTAGTCGCGCACTTTCAAGTTGGATTTTAAAGCCAATTATGCATCAAAACCCTGTTACTTCACATTTTTAACCTTTCATAACTTCTTCCAGATAACGTTGTCGCAGATATGGAAGGTAGATTTGGAATCAGCTCATCAAGACGCATGTAATGGTATGCGGTTTATTCCAATTCGCCACCTTAAGTTGGGATCGTTCCCTTGTAAGAGCAGTAGCTATGCTTTGTACTAACACCTTCCTTTTGTTCATATCCATGTTCGTGAATTTAGCAGCCTTAAAATCTTCAGCAACCTGAAGATCAGCAGTGGACTTCTTGGACATTTCCTCATTGAGACTAGGCAACTGCTTGGATTTCTGATGTACGAAATAGAAAGTTTCGCTCAATTGTCAACTCTGTATCAATGTCGACAACATTTTGGTCGGCGTAAGATTATTCTTCTGCCTTGCTGTTGAACTGGAACACATGCGAGTCATCTGCAATTTTGTAAAGTATTCTGCCTGCCGTTTCCTCTTCAAACCAACCTTTCCAAAACATTGAGGGATGTTTTAGTAACATGTTATTCTTCTAAATGTCCTAAAGTTTTTGATTCATTGAAACCAATTATTCTCTACAAATTAGGTAAGGTGAGTATAGAGCGTTTTCACGAAAGTGACCTTCTTCAGCGCTAGGTTTACAGAGCATAGATTCCAGAAATGGGCGGGTTTTTGTGTGAAGGTGTGGAAATTCACCAATCTCCCATAGTTTTTTGAGTATGTGCTGATAATGATGGCACAACTGTCAATCAAAAGCGCATTTTTTACTAAAAAAACATAAACTTATAACAACGATAAGCACGCTTAAATAGACGCGTTCGCTCGCGTTCCCGTTAGTGCTGATAACGATGTCAATCCACACACAATATATTGGCTTTTATCAGTCACCGGAGCAAGTGCTTTTTGAAGCCGGGAAGCAAAGAAGCCCTAACATGCTGCATACCACTCGAAAGCTGAGATCATGGAGAATCGAGATAAACCGTCGGCTTTTTTTTAGGTCTTCTGTGTCGCGAGATATGAGGGATTTTATGTACTTCAAAAATCAACTAATTTTGTGTCCTCACTTTCTGCTCTCCAAATGATTGCTACGAGAAAGTCGACGGTCTACGTTTGTTAGTGAAGACTTGCTCTATAACACAGATAGATAATCAGCAGCGATTAGGTCTTCGTTTGGCAGAAATCTGCTGTTGAAAATAAACATGTTTTCAGATAAAATGCGTTGTATCTCTCGGTAGAGGGGGGCTAGAAAGAAGTCGACGGTCTAGGTCGAATCCCGTTCGTGAGCTTTCGAATGGTATATAGGTTGCCGGGCGACAAAACTTACCAGTTTTTAAAAATGGGGTGGAGATATTTACTACTAGCTTGCTCCACCCAGCTCCATCTATGTATTGGCTTTTATCGGTCACCGGAGCAAGTGCTTTTTAGAGCCGGGAAGCAAAGAAGCCCTAACATGCTGTATACCATTCGAAAGCTGAGATCATGGAGAATCGACGTAGATTGTCGACTTTTTTCTAGGTCTTCTGTGTCGCGAGATATGAGGGATTTTATGTACTTCAAAAATCAACTGATTTTGTGTCCTCACTTACCGTCGAATATACCCGAAAGAGTTGTAGCTTTGAACAAAGAAGTGTTGATTATATTACTGAAATAAGATTGATTAATGCTCATGGAACTATAACGCTCAGGGATGTGTTTATGAATGCTCGGAAAGAGTTTGTGCTTCTGTAGATGCTCTTTTTATAAATAAATGATAAGAATAAACATAAATACCGTTTCTTTTGTAGATTTATGAGGGTACTTGTTGTTTGAGCTACTTAGTCTGCAAAACCTTTTAATAACGATTTTTATTTCATATTCTCAGAGTACAATACCAATCTCAGCCCAGGTGAAGGGGGTCATCCGGAGTTTGGCCTCAAAGTGAAGGGGGTAAGATCCATCAGTCCCCCTATCGCAACTATGACTCCAAGTACAGATGATGAAGATGAACTGGCAACATATTCACATCCTTCTTCTTAATATAAAAAATCATGATTCGGATTCTCAAATCCCTCAGCGAATGCTACGAACGCATTTTACTGTGGTCAAAGAGGTTACTGAATACATGCGAACTTTTACAATGACTTGCGGGATCACCCAAATACCGAGTCAGTGTTTCGACCCTCCCAAATTCTCTGTAACCCATATACCGCTCCCGGAGGATATAGAACTTGGTCAGTCCTAGGTCGGGCTCGACTTTTGGTCCGATGTAGTCATTAAATCGCCCCATACCATTGCATCACCCGTTTCCCTGTTTACTTTTAGTTTCATAATCCATTTTGTAGTAATGCACCTTATTATACATGATGACAAACATAAACCTTTACTTATTAATCCTGTACATACAAATAAGCATTGAGGGCGCAGATATCTATACACAGAAAGGCACTAACAAGGAGACTACTGTGGAAACACCCGCAGTACAATCCGCTCAAAGTAAATCCTTGTCTCTACAGAACACTACAATATATCGACTCTTCATAACCATACAGTGAGAACTCGGGACGGCGCCCACTGCCTAACACATTAAGGGCCGCATGCACCAACATCCCCGCCGGGGAGGGGATCGCAGCTCAAAAAAAGCTGCTCCAGATATCCTGGATTTCACGCCTATCTATCTATCGGTTAGTATCCCCACCTCCCTTCACCATAAACATATTGAACAGGAGCGAGAAGCTGTACAAGCTACACTTTCCATCCTTTTGTATGATCCCCGGAGGCCCACCGTCTTTTCTTTAAAGTAATTTTCCTTTCTTCAAATTCAATAAAAGCATTCCAAAGTTGTACTGATTATTTAACCGAATAGTGCTAAGCATATTGGTAATGAGAAAAAATGAGTTTCTGAAATATCGAATTTTTCGATAAACCCCAACTTTCGTCCTGTGGTTCATCGAAAATTTCATCACTCCAAAACATCATTTGTTCTTAACAGCAACATGCTTAGCACTGTTGGGTTAGATAATCAGTACAGCTTTAGGATGTATTCGTTGACTTCAAAGAAAGAAAACGATTTCAAAAAAGGAACCTTCGACCGCCGGGAATCATCAGGGGATCACACAAAAAGCTGGAATATGCGGCTTGTACAGCTTCTCCTGTTCAATACGATCATAGTGAAGGATGATGGTATACACGGATACGTAGACAGCGTGAAATCCAGATATCTGAAGCATCAGGGTACGAAGCATTAAGCTGCGATCCCCTCCCCGGCGGAGATGTCAATGCATGCGGCCCTAAGAGTGAATAATGATAAAGACGATATACACCAATGGTATTACTATCTGTTGGCTTTTCCACTTTTATCGGCACAACTCTGACATATTGCTCAAGCTATATATATACAGGTTTCGTGAACATGAATGTAATCTGAATCAAATGTAGCTATGCTAAATCCATCTATAACATACTCTTCTCATCAAAGCGAATGGATTAGAAAAGCAATCAATCAGACAGATACTTGTACACCTACAAGCGGCAGCAATCGTTGCCTACTTTCTACACTCTTCGAAACGTTAATGGTACTAAACGGCAATAATGGTATGAAGATTGAAAAGAAATCTGATTCAAAGCAAGAAATAAGCCTGAAGATTCAAGGTAATGCTTCTGAGGAAAAGGAGGGTAAAAAGGCATTGAATAATCAATAACGATATCGTTGAATTTAGCTATGAATACAACTTATGACACCATGTAGAGTAGGCTCCGCATGATATATGCCTCGGGTAAAGTAATGCCCAAATCCTTCATGTGTCTGAAACCACTCAAGAACGCACGCAATTGTCTTTACACTGCCAATCCTCTCGACCTCGCTCGTCTCGCATTACCTTTGTAACTCCACGAACATCACTTTTTGGTGTTGATGCTTTACTAGTCAGCCGGTGGAGTTCTCGGCTACCTTACAGCTACGTCCACCACGCTTATCAAACAGCACGGGGTGAAAATATTCAATAATGAATTAAGAATAAAAGATGAGGAAAGGGCAATGGGAGATGAAGAGTGACAGGTATAGGCCGTCCGCGCTGCGCACGTAGAGCACGCTGTTGCGCCCACTGGTAGTTCATGACTGGAAGAAGCGCAGAGAAAATAAGCGGCGAGAGTGCACGGGGAAAGAAGATTGACGCGCAATACACACCTTGCGCGCTCCGCACCTGCGGGATGGCCTATACTACATGTGCGTAGTCACACCCGTTTCATCTGAACTTTCTACCGCATTATTTCTACCTCCGGCAGCGTGCACATTACAAAAGCCTGGAACGATATTCTCCTAAAGAACAGAAAGTACATAAAGATACATAGCCCCTTTACATAGAAAAAAAAATAGTACTAATGAAGATCAGAGGTACCAAGTTGCTCGATCACAAAAATGGGATCAATACACGATGAAATGAGAATCTGGCAAGATTAATCTCATCTCTCAAAGGATTTATCATGAGACACTATGAGCGCATTATTGATATAGTACCCATAAGATAACCCGAAGGCTTTGCGACTTTAAAGAATGATTGTGACAAAATTGCTTGCTGCATAACTGCCAAACCATTCGGATAATCGCTAACGACAGGACAGGACATAGCCCCTACAGTGATGTGTGGGCTAAAATGCAAAATATTCCGATGCTCAAAATTCAAACAGCCCCCGTAATCCTATAACAACAAGCAACATGCCGTTACATCAAGTCCAAATGATGAGAAAAATAAATCAAATCTCATCACCATATGCAGGATTGATAGAAGAGGATGAAACACGAGTTGTCATATGTATTCCGAAGATGTTGTATATTTCGAGCGTTTTGCATGAACGGAGAGACTCCTCATTTCACGATGGCTGCCAAATCACAAATTAACGTGCAAAAGACTAGTTGAAAGCAAGGTTTGCGCGCGCTGCTCATCCCTAAGGAAATCGATGTGCTGAGCATACAGCAGCATTGTAAATCCTCTTCTAGCATGATAATTTCCTTGAGAGATGCCCACAATGGAAAAACCTAGTTTTCTACATCGCTGATGTAGACTGTGAGTGAGGACGAGATCCCAAGCTCCTCAAATGTTTTTGGTACTTCCCAAGGTTCGATGCTTTGGTTTTGGGACTGACGATAGTCGCTGAGAAGTTCATGATACCTACAAAACATTGTAAATCACAGAGTGCTCGGATCAGTTCAAGTTGCTAATGCCTAGAGATTAGCTTAGCTCACCTGTAGCAGCAGAAGTTGAGCCGTGCTCGAGGAAAGCCATAGTAAGCTTCGAAAAACCATGGGCAACAAGATTTTGCAAAAACAACCTCGAAGAGATTCTGGAAAATTATACCAGAACCATATACATTTCACCAATCACAGTCAAACGTGAGAAAAAAAACCAACTTTGACACTTTCCTTCGACGAGAACTTGTGCTGACTCGTCTCTCCAGAGGGATAGCGCACAAGCACTCTAATTGAGTCTTCACCTTCATAATCATCAGAGCGCTTATTACGGCTGAATTCTTCACGTAAGTCCCGAAGACCCTAGATGTGCGAAAAAATTGAAAGCAATCGCTGGACATGCTGAGAAATTGATCACAAAATACACAACTCACTCTGACTGAAATACAGCCCTTTCAGCATTTCCGCGCATACGTGCGTATGCACCCCCGTCTCTTAGGCAGGCGCTAGACTTACCCGGTTTAACCTGCTCCTCTGGTTCACCCTATTCGCTACTGGGCAAATTACTGATGACCAATAGCGAATGAGTGAACAGGAAACCGGCTGAACCGGATAAGTATGGCACCTACATATCTCAATCGTAAACGAAAAGTTCTAAGGCTTCTATCCAGTAATAATAGTGATGGCTTGATTATCATATGAATACAGGGGGGGGGGGGCGGGCGTTAGGTACCCAACCATTAGTGGTATAACTAGGCCACGCCCGTTGGCTGCTTTAACAGCGGGTACCTAACGATGGGGGGCAGGCGTTATGGAGCAAAGCAGCACCGCATTCCCCTGCGGTATATCTTGAGGGCCAGTTGCGTTGCGTCGACTTTAATTGCAGCCGCAGGAGTACGCCGCTCCTGACAGCGAACTGAGCCATTCCCTATTGCTACGCCTTGAGAAGATGTCCAAACTGCATGAACGTAATAAAGGTATTCAAAATCGAAAGACAGATGGATTTTACGGATGCAAAGGCTGAATCTCGGATGAGAAAAAGACTGATTTTAAGTGTAATGCGAGAATTAGTAGAGAAAAGGGACAGAAATTTTTCGTTATTGACTTTCCAAGCCTTCACTTTCTCTTGGATGGTACCTTTAAACACTTCTTCCTCAAAATCTATTTTTTCATCCTCAAAATCCATTTAACTTCCGCATCTTGGTCTCTTTACAGAAGAAGAATTTCGAGAATGACTCAATCCTCTGGGTAACGCTAGCTCTGCGGGTGCAATCAGGAGCGACACAAAAAGGGCCTTCAGGATATACCGCAGGCGAATGCGGCGTAGCTTTGCTCCATAACGCCACGCCGCCCCTAACGATACACCAAATTCTAACTGCTAGAAAGGCTCACCAAACTCGCTAAAGCGCTGACGCTTGCGACCCACACAAAATTAGTTCGAGAAAATCAAAAAAAAAGCGCGAATGAAAGCGCACGTTTTTGATTTTATGTGGTATAACGCTTTTTCTATTGCCTTTTTTAAAATCAATTTTAGAACCACAGAAATTCGGCGATGAAAGCTAAAAACAGGGTAAGGCTTTTATGAGCAGTTCACATAGATTTGCAAAAAAATTGTGATAATCTCATCTAACCGATAAGTCAGCGGGAGTTTCAAAAAAGTAAACTTTGTAGAATTAATTTTATGATATTACTGAAGAAAAGCGCACTTTCGGAGACGCTCCTGGCAAATAAGTTGCACGACATATTCCTTTGTTGCAAAAAAACTGCTTCAAATATATTTTGACAATGAGAAGCGGAACCGATTGAAAGAAGAGCTTCGACGAGAACTTTTCACCAGGAATCGGAACTTCAAGGCGGACTATGTGGCCCATTGATATGGGAAAGGCACTAGCTCTGTTCCAGTCAACGAAAATTGTAAATTACAGAGCTATGCCAATTTCGGATGAGTGTCGCCAAGAGAGTGCAACAGGAAAAAGCAGCAGCTCTACTGAGAACAATTATTGGGAAAATTTTTTGCTTTTTGGGGAGTTACAAAAAAAATGCATAGCTTTGGTTGGATAAACTGAGCATATTTTGGCTGCTAGAAAAGAAAAGGAATATGAAACAACTGCACTATGAAGGCCTCCAAAAAAGCATTACAGAGAATGTAGGCATGATGAAATACATAGCTCCATGAGAATTTCACACGAAAAATCTTCCAAAATAAAGAAAAATGTGTGCTTATCAATGCCTCATAAATCTGTTGGTCTTAACTATGACCGAAATAATAACCTTAATAATCTACGTTGACATAGTTCACAATTCCTGTGGCAATATTAACGCAAGTGTTACGACCCTTAACTTCACACCTCAAAACGGGCCTGATGACAATACGTGAGAGGAATATTCCGTGTGATATTTGCTAGGGACACATCCGAAAGTGCGCTTTTCTTCACTAAAATCATTAAAATTTGATTTATTGGTATTCTACAAGGTTAACTTTCATAAAATTCCCTCTGACATTATCGGTTCACATTATCACAATTTTTTTGCAAAACTACGTGAACTGCTCATAAAAGCCTTATATGAATATGAAAGAGCTGTTTTATGAGGCGTCAAAAAGACCCTCACATGATGATTTTATGCATACGCGCATATGCACACGCCAAATGCATGAGCGAAAACCCGTTCCGGGGCTTGCCCTGCCATGCTAGCGCAGCCAGCAACGGTCCCAGCATATGCAGCGACTCTGTCACCCGGACGAGCGGGCCAGCCTGTATTTCAGTGTCTTCTTCCTTGCTGGCCCGCGCTAGCATGAGAGGGCAACTCTGGGGGTGGGTTTCTGCTCGGCTGCACTGCATGCGCAGGTCACCTCAAGTGTGGATATAACCATGTGGAACCATTTTTGATTCCACCCATGTGGAATCAAAAATAGTGGAACTCGTTCCTGCATTCGCACTACTGATCGAACCATACGAGATTATTCAAAACCCCATCAAAGGTCAACTCATAAGGAAACCTGTTGTCAGCCCAAAGGCAAGTGTATCCCCTCCTGCAAACTCCGATGGCATCCCTTTCACTGCGTCGTATCTCACGCGAGTAAGCCTTGTGCTTATAACGTATGTTAATTTATATGGATGATCGGGTCGCTGTTGATTTCAGCAGCGTGTGTATGGGTGCGCAAGCCGCCAGTGAGATTATGAGCCTCTATAGGTGTGCGGCCACCATTAGCATGGCATCAATTATGTGCGCGGGTCGCCAGCTCACACCTGTGGGCCGCTGCTGGGCCTGATGCATGTATGGTTGAGATATAGATACCGCGGCTCAACAGCGAAGCCCAGTTGGGCGACCGGGCCACTACAACAATTGTCTGAGTAGGCTGCATCAGCATCTCCGCTCGCGCGGCCGTCTCGCTTGGGCTCTGCGCTTCTTTCGCGAACATGCTCTCTTGTCTTTCCCACCACGCGTGAGAAAGACGGAGCTTCAATCACTAATCAAGTGTGCGATGATTAGAGAGCATGTCCACGAAAAAGCTGCAGAATCCAGGCGAGGCGGCTACGCAGAAGCGGAGATGGTGCACCCGACTCTGCAACTGATAATCCCTGTACATCCAGCACACCAAAACAACTCCAACCTGCTCTCGTGTAGTATGTATAAGGTACGAGCGGGTCAGGAATGCTTACACCATTTGCATGTGAGTTAGCAGGAAAGAAAGGAAAACCTTTGAGAAACTGTACAAGGTGTCTCAAAAAATGTGCACACTGTTTCATCTTGAATAGGTCTCCTGCTTCAAGATCTTTTGTCGACCTCAGGTGTCATTCTGTAGAGCTGGTTTCAACTTATATAGAGCAGATCTCCAATCTTTTTTCGTTACTGTAAGATTACGGCAGGAATTCTTTGAAGAGGTGTTTAAGCCGTAAAGAAGCATTTCCCCTTGAAAGGAAGTCAAAAAAGCCAAAAACTTCCTGCTAGGCTAATCAGAGTCGCTGTTTTCAGATATGAACTTCGCACACCACAATCATGCTTTGTTCATGAGTTATTTCAGGAAAACAGTAACAGCTGCTCTCCCAATGTTCCTCAAAAATGTGACCACACTTTCAAAAAAGCCTTCTTGAAAAAGCGTGATAAAATCGGTGTGCTTAGAGATGCTGATCGGGATTTTTTGGACTTATTTAGAACTTTTCCATCGAAGGCCCCCACAGAGGCGCTATAACTGAAATTTCACACCACAGTTCTACAGTAGCAAACAGAGATTTGAGTCTCACTCCATACTGAGAGTCCAATTTGAAGCGACCTCTACAAAATGGTACCTAGATGTTCAAAAGAACCACACACCAGAAAGTGTAATGGGTGCTGCAAAATTGATCGCCGACAAAGTAGAACAATGTGAGGTCACATCTGATGCGGACACATCTACGCTGGAAATCCTGCACGAGTACGAGAAAAAACTGACAAAGAAGAAACACACTTTCATTCGTGCAGCTTCTTTGGCAGCACGTTCTGTCGCCTGTTTCGCTTGCATTCTCTGTTCCTCCTCCTTTTGCTCCCGTTGACGGCGGCGTTCCGCAATCAGGGCACGATCGCGCTCCTCACTTTCCCGATATTCCCTTTCCTGCTGTTCCATCAGTTCTCGAATTTCGCGTAAAGCACTTCTATAAAGACAGATCAATAAGCATTGCTGAGACATACACTGGACAACAACCTTCGGGAACGTTCTTCTTCCCTTTGTTCCAACTCGTCCAAAGCACACTGGCGCAGCAATGAGTAGATCTGTCGTGCTTCGACAGGCATTTCAACGCGCATGACCTGGCGAAGAAAATCATTATAGAAGCATACCATGTTTTTCTACTCACTACTGAATGATCCCTTGTAGATACCGCGAAGAAGCAAGGGAATGTTGAGACTCTCATCCGACGCGCAACTGAATTCGTATACATATGGTAGCGAAGATAAAATAAATGTGGACACACCGTCCTTCCCCGCAGAAGAGCGCGGATCAGCACCCCACAGCACAACATTGTAGTTTAACATAGTCTCGTTGAAAGTTTGGTCCTCCAACACTTGCCGGACCATGTAATCAACATACTCAAAGAAGACTATCAGTTGTGTATACTGAGAAGCATAATATCAAGAAAATAATGGCACACCTGTGCGTCCGGAGAAAAAAGATATACAGCAAATAACGATTCAGCATTGCGTGCTGCGGAAAATGCCTGAAAATAGAATCTCAACGTGCAAAAAGGAAGAACCATATAATCAAAGCATCTATACTGAATGTCTCAGAGGAACAGATGCGGTTTGTGCTGCTTGAAAGTTCGCATTCTGTATCTAATGATGTTAGCTACAAGAAACTATGCGCGCTTTACTCGCCCAGAAATCATGGTCCCCGCAATTCATCCGCAGCAGACTCCCATACAGGGCTGGTGGTAATCCACATATGCTGAACAGCCGTAGTGAGTTTTGACCTGATGAAGAGGATGGAAACAGAAGAAGCAAACAAAGTACAATGCGCATGAATGTCTGCACTTATGATTGCCAGTTCGTCGGCTACATAATGTATGACTAGAGTTTAAGAATAGCATAGTGATAAAGCCATAAGTTGAGTAACTGAGACGAAGCCATTTCGCAACAAGTGCAGAAATTGTTGAATAGTCTGTATACAAACCTCTTCGTAAGTCCCATTGTAAAACTCCACTTGCGTCTCACCAAGTCTCTCCTGCACACCTCGCCTAAACTTTGCCACATCCTCGCGATAATTGGTGATTGAAGGACGTCGTTCTCCAAAGATTATGTCACCTAATGAATATTATTTTGTGAAGTGGAACAGAGAGACAAATGAACTTACAGAAAAATTTTAAAATATCAAATATTGTGGTGAAAACGAAGTTAAATGGTAATGTGATTAGAGCAACAATGAACTGACGCCAAGGCTGCACTACAAACCACTGTGGACCCGGTCTGAAAAGAAGAACTTAGAAGTCGCCTAATTTAATTTAGAAATTTAATTAGGCGACTAATTTACAAACCTAGCGGTCGCAATTGAGTTCAATGAGGAACTAGTTTCTGCATGATCCCACTCGTGATCTAAAGCTCGAGCCCGACCGTTTCGCGGGTATTCTGCAACATTCATATCGTCCGCTTCCTCATTATCATCATCGTCAAGAATACCATCGGTCTAAAGAGGTAAACATTTCGAGTCTTGTAAACGAATCGAAAAAGAAAATTACTTGAAAAAACAACTGAACAGCCGCCTGTAGATCTCCACGACAGTGACGCAAGTATCTTACAGCCACATCCTCATCAGCAATCCCGCAGAACTCCTAAGATGCTTCAATATAATGCGACAACATACATAGATAACGAAGGCGGTTGGGCAGGAGGCAGCAAAGAGTGCCCGCCTGTGTAACAGGAAGTACCGGAACTCCACACTACTTTCTTCCCGCCTTTGCTTGGCATTAGGCCACGCAGTTATAGCAATTAGGATCTAGGCTTATTCACGTATTTTTTTTGAGTATCTAGTTCTACAACAGATTTTCGTAGCTTATGGGTGGTTCAGCAACATAATTTGAAAATGATGCAAGAAATGCATATCTATATCATTCATTCTCTGACTAAGAGAGCGAGCACGCTTTGCGTACGTTTGATCAACAAGTTCAGAATGAGTTCTAACGCGTTTTGATTATTTACTATCGGAATTCGTGAAAAAACGTGTTCAAGCGAGCGTGGTTTAAAGGCAGTGTCTGGGCAAAAACTTGATTCTGAGATTTTGTGCTTACCTGGGCCTATTCGCTACGCTGAATCCGAAAATGCACATTAGAGAGCGCGAAAACGGCGAGAAATGGCTCTAACACAGGGGAGAAATCAGCAGGTTGGCGGGGTTTCACCCTCCCCCCCCCCCCCCACACTGTGAATCCACGCTCCCAGCTTCCGGAGTAACCTTCTCGCTTTCGGTTTCAAGTCAATCATTCGCACTTGGCCGGTAGCAATGTTAGAACGGCTAGCGGAATCGAGGAGACCGCTCCGGAAGCTGGGAGCAAGAATTCACGTTGGGGAGGACCCCCCCCCCCACTTGCTGTTTCCCTCCTGCGCTAAAGCCCCTTTTTGCCGGCCCCTTTTTGCCGTTTTCGCGCTTTCCAGTGTGGATTTTCGGATTCAGCATGGGGAATAGGCCCGGATAAGCACAAATCTCAAAATCGAGTTTTTGCCCGGACACTGCCTTCAACGGCTCAAACACGTTCTTCCACGAATTCTGATAGTAAAGGTAATTACAGAAGCAAAGGTCTAGTCTTAGCTGCATCATGCCTGACGCCCGATAGCAAAGATGAAAATAAGACGAAAACTGGTAACAAGATGAGTTAAAATGGAAAGATCACCAAAAAATAAAATATATATTTTGGATTGGTACAAATAGCAAAGGATTACCTTGAAATTCTCAACATTTTCCTCTGAGACCTCCATTGTCTTTTGATCCGATATAAGCTATATGCAGAATATGATGAAAGTCGAGCTTTTTGCCACCTCAAAACTGATTGAGCATGTGGAAGAAAGAAGTGGCTACAGAGAGATTACGTGGAATGCCGACCATAACGGCAGAAAAAGAAAAGGACCGATATCAAGAGAAGTGAATTACAGCAGATCAAGTCTATCACTTTTCTGACTGGGAAAAAAAGGCTCATTCAACCGCCTGTGTATAAAGTATACATGCTCGGGATCGCAACCTTCTTTGTTCTCGAACAACACAACTGTGCGCCCTTACATGACACTGCCTGCAATAACCAGCTTACAAGAAAGAGCCCAAGTAATCGAAAGTGGTAACCACAGCAAGCAGAAAACAAAATTTGTCGAATTGTAAGATCCTACAACGACCTTGAGCGGCGGTAATTCGCGGTGAATGATGTCACGATGCTCCTTTGCCAAAGTGGATGCGTAGCGCAGCGCTGGCGATTGGAGCACAGGATCTAGTGGCGTGGAGAAATCAAATTTTTTTGTTTACTTTTTCACGCAGGAGTTCATGGTGTGATTCTACTCGTTAGCTGTTTTGACACTCAACCTTAATTCATGACAATCACAAATGCTTGAGACTTGCGCAATTTAAAGTGGAAGCAGGTTTTCTTTGGGCACTTCTTCTTCAATTGCTTTAAAACTTGTAGAAGAAAGCTTTCTGACTCCATGTTATTTGAGGTTTATTAGACGTTATCTCAGTGTAATCTTATCGTTCTTGTTTAGAATTGGTTGCAAAGGATAGTTTTCGCAGCTGTGCATATGTCGGGTGCGGGCAAGAAGCGAGTACGAAAGGAGGATGTGGCTACCTTCGACGAATGTGACGCTGGCAGCTGGGAATGCACTGTATGCACCTATCGCAATCGTTTCGAAGCATTCAAATGTGAGATGTGCGACACAAGGTTTGATAATTGTTTTTCTTCGAAGTACTGCAATACAACGCCCAATTTTGTGGCCTGACTGCAGTGATTCATAGTAGACTACAGTACTTTTTAGAAAGGGAACCTCGACGCGAAAACCACGATTGAATGAGAACGTTGTACAGATGCAAAAGGTTGTGCAAAATTTTGTTGTCCAACAACAAGAGAAAGCTGCTAGCAGGTATGGCCGAAGACATTTGAAAGTTTGAAAACATTGACGATTTAAACCGCTGAGTGCTCTGTTTCATAGTTGCATCTCTAACAATAAGTCTACGAACAGCAGACTCGTGAAAGACTTGTTCACACATCAACACGCACGGACTGTCAAAACCGTTGGGTTGCCAAGCGCTCATAGGATGGGGGACCTTGTTTCATTTTAAGAAACGATCAAGATGCGCTTGATACGGCTGATGATATAAATAAAGGGAGTGCAAAAGCCACACTGGCCTTATGGTAGTAAGTATTGCCCAGCCCTTCTAATACTTTGCATGATTTGGAGTAACTGTATCATCACTTTGTCTGCTGCACTCAATACAATGGATTCAGCATTACAAGCTACGCACGTATATAGGGCTCTGCGTCATCGCTGGAGTCGGTGGTTTTGCGGCCATTGCACACGCACACACTTACTTAAATCTACACATGGCTGCGCAAGGCGCGCCCCATGACCCAGCGCGAATTTAGCCGGCGCGCATGGTTTATGCTCCCGGAGCACATTAAACACGGTGAATTTGTGATTTTTTGCGCACATACTGTCACGTACAGTCGAGTAGATTTTCCGCTTAATATAGTGTGCTTGCACAGAAGGTGAGATGCGGTAAAATTTGCGCGTTAGGAAATGGCTTCGACCGTGACGCCGGTCAGTTGCGCGCGCAAAATGCCGGCAGTGCTGGCGCAGCTACCTGTTCACGCGCAAATTTTACCGCATTTCATAAACTGTGCAAGCACACTATATTAAGCGGAAAATCTACTCGACTGTAGGTGATTTTTTGCATATAGTTTTGCCGTGTAGCGAAAGATTCTTTGCTTGTTGGCATACAGTGAGAGCGATATGACCATCGCGGTTTAAAAAAGAAAGTATTGGTGCTTTTCCAAGATCCATGTCATAATTTGTAGCGTGAAGTATGTTGTACAGAAAGAATTTCTTGATGATGCTGAAGCAACATGCTTCGGATAAACTAATGCAGGTTTTTTCTCAGAGCTTTTGTTTCTGTAAACTGGTTAGTAGGCAAAAAACATTCTAATTGTTCTTTAAATCCCAATAGAGACTGATAGGTAAAACAATCTTTATACCTGAGAATGTATTGAGGTGCGAACGAGCACAGCAGATAAGTGAAATAACCATCGATGTATCAAGCGCACGATATGTGCTTTCCAAATCAGAGTCTTCGAATGTTTCGCTCAAACCTTAAAACTGCTTGCAGTTGTTTTGTGAGTCAGTTTGTTATCCTACCAAAACATATACATATACAGGCCGTACCAGCCAGCATTGGTTCCGCGCTGGTATGCCTTGCGAGAACGCACGGTCGCATGCGACGTGCTCTTGCGCGCAACAGAGTTCCACGCGTCAACCGCATCGTCGCAAGCTGCCGCAGGCACGACGTCGCATAACCGATGTTGGTTGGTACGGCCTATAGACAAACTCCAGTTGTAAAAGAAAATCATAGAAGAAGTCTTGCCCATCCGACTTTCAAGGAAACGCTGTTCAACACTTGATGTGTCTTGGTCGGATTGAACCTGATATGGAGCTACTACTATCTACAGGCGATTCATAGCACGCAAAGACTATGGACGTATCTGCGTCTCTCCGACCAAGCGCTCTTTCGTTTCTCTTACCATCTGCTGTCTCTCCCAAGTAGGAACTATTTTGGCTGGACGCAGCGGCGCCCAGTCCTTGCGTGTCATGAATCGTGTACAGAATGCATAGATTTTTTTCGCAGCATTTGTGTCTGAAACAATGGTGCATGCATGTCCACCACCGGATGTTGCTATCGATAAGGTGCTTACAAACGACTGGTCTAATCAAATAAGTCAGGAACTGCTCCTTGGTCCATCAATCCGCGTAGCTATTCGTATCACGAGCAGGTTTAAAGGCAGTGGCTCGGCAAATCTCAACCTAGTCAAATGTTCGCTTACCTGGGGTTAATCAATATGCTGATTCCGAAAATCCACTTTTGAGAGCTTGAAAATGCCGAAAACGAGCGTTTTTCTATGCCCTTCCCTTTGGAACTGGACGAGTGCAGCAAGGCTGATGACGCCGAATCGTTGCAGGACCCAATGGTTATAGCGTTGCGGCGGACAGCCTCCAGGGGTGGAGGACATTAGGTCGCCGAATTTGGAAGAGTCCCGCGCGGATTCCCTGCAGGAACGCATGTCCGCGCATGTACAAGGGTGCGTATTTGTCGCAAATGACCGCGGGGACCGCCCTTTTTCGGCGACCTAATGTCCTCCACCCGCCTCCAGTGGTGAAGGAAATGGGCAACTCGTCCAGATGCGTGTAAGATTGGCCTGCGCGTGTAGGCTTAAAACATACCTGGCGGCGGGTGTCCATACGTAGCGGTGGCAGCAACGCTTTTAGTGCGTATTGATTGCAGCGGAGTGACGCCGCTGCTTAGCGCTGCAGCAGCTAACGTGAAAGGTCATGTCCATACCTAGCGTCTCAATTCTGAGCAGCGCTGCGCAGCGCTGCTCAAGCTGAGCAGCGCTGCAACTGGATTTTGCAGCTGAGTTACGCTCACTTTTTCTGAGCGTATCTCAGCTGCTCTGAGCTGATCTCAGCTGCTTTGAGCTGCAACAGCTGATTTTATGTGTTTTTGAACTCATTTTTTTGAAATTTGCGTGTTTTGGATAGTTTTCTTCCTTTTTTTCAATTTTTGAAATTTGCGTGTTTTGGATAGTTTTGACAAATTTTTGTCAAAGATTCATCATCCCATCCCGATAAAATTGAAAAATAATGCAATGAAAGAAAAAGAAGCAAGTCGACGTCACACGACCAACACATATGCATAAAATAATCAAGTGATAAACGAACTGAGGCGCAAGTGACCCCATAAAACAAGGGCAAACGATAATTATGTATTGAGGCATTTATCGCGCCCTAGTTAGGACGCAGCGCGTGTTTTGAGGTGTTGCGGGGCAGCAATCCTTCGTTCCTTGCAGCGCTGCTCAGCTCAAGTTGCAGCGCTGCTCAGCTCAAGCAGCGCTGCTCTCGCTGCTCGCACATTTTGTCCATACCTAAGCAGCGAGGTATGTATCAAGCCGTAAGTTTGAGAGCGATTTTCTCGGCAGGGAAAGCATGCTGTGCAACCGGGATTGCACTGTTTTCATACTTGGACGATAAGGAACCTACGGCGTTAAAATCCTGAGTTGTTGGATTTTGGCGATCCACTGCCTTTAAGCATGCATTGCTATGCTTTGTATCGGATTGTACTGTATTCCTTCTTTTCCGCCTTCTTGTGACACGGTGAGGTCACAAGGGCGAGTGGGACCACTCCCCGGTGCTCGCAAATCTCTGCTCCGGGGATGCGCCAGATTTGGAGGAGCCCCGGAGCACCGAAACGCGTGAAATGGGAGGGCTCCGGAGCAACGAAGTGGCAGACTCCCGGCATTTGCCCCCCCCCCCTCCCCTCCTCGGAGGTATCCCTTCGACTGTCTGAGTTTATGGTCAATGCGGCAAAGCGCGGGCCTAATTTGTGGACGTGTCCGGCAGTAGCCAAACGCGTGCCATCCTAGACATTTGGTGCGTGCGGCACGCGTATCAATGGCCAACATCGCGACCCGCGCGCTGCGTTTATGTTCGATCTTGCGACCCCCGCGCCTAATTTTTTAGCACGCCGCGCGCCTTTACTCTACCCGTGCGGCCGCGCGCCTGCAATTATCACATGCTGTAAGCGCAAGGGATACCAGCATAGTGTACGACGCAGTGGTAAGGCTGCCTTGTGGGTGGAGAACTATACAGTAAGTTTCGACCCGCTTTAGGCGGAAATTGGATTGGCGGGAGTCCGCCTCGCAACAGCCCGCGCCGTTTCGCAGCTACAGTACGTCCTATCGTGCTGAGAACCCATGTCTGCGTCTCTTCAATCTCCTTAGTCTTTGCTTGGCAAAATGCCAGCGCTATGCGCTCGCGAAGCCTCCAGCGATGCGCATGCGCTGCTCCACGTAGAATATCTCGCCTATTCCGGGATGAAACCGACTGTATGTCGTCGAATTTGGAAGAGTCCCGCGCGGATTCCCTGCAGGAACGCATGTCCGCGCATGTACAAGGGTGCGTATCCGTCGCAAATGACCGCGGGGACCGCCCCCCCCCCCTCTCGGCGACATACAGTCCTCCACCCCCGCCTCGTCATTCAAGAGGTTAGGTATCACATCTTAGTGTATGAGTAGTCGCCGAAACAGGAGTTTTTTGCTTCCACCGTTAATCTTCGGTAGCATTGCGAATGGATGCTCTGAACCCTGGATTCAAATACATATTTTTTGGCGTATGAAGTGTCCACTTGATTATCAAGACTTACGGTATACAGCGCAACGAAAAAGTGGAAAACGGCAGCCATCCGCGGACACCAGTAGCAGCGGCGCGGCATCCAAGTTCCCGCCATCCGCGGATGGGTGCTGCGCCACTGTGACCGCACGCGCGCTGCTCGCTCCAACGTCTGAGCAGAAGCGTAGAGGACAAGTCAATGTCTAGCGTGCTCCAACAGCGAGGATCCTGCACGTCGGAGAAAATCGCATCGGGGCACGGGGCGCGCTTTGCGCAGTCACGTGTACAGTCGAGTAGATTTTCTGCAATATAGTGTGCTTGCAAAGAAGGTGAAAAGCGGTAAAATTTGCTCATAAATAGCTCCGATTGTGACGCCGGCCAATGACGCGCGCAAAATGCCGGCAGTGCTGGCGCAGCTACCTGTTCACGCGCAAATTTTACCCATTTCATAAACTGTGCAAGCACACTATATTAAGCGGAAAATTTACTCGATTGTACATTTAAGCACGTGTCACACGCACGATGCTACAAACCAGTCAAACAGTTCCGTACTTCTCAAAATCGTTCCTGGTAATTAAAAGCTAACATCTGACAGACATAAGCGTTTGACAGGAGAAAAATAACCGAGAAAACTTAGTGCGAGTGCAATGGCCGCAAACCCACCGACTCTCGCGATGCAGAGCCTATCTGTCCCACGTTACTACTTTCTTCTAAGAGGAGCAGGAAGGAGTTCGTACTCTGTTCTTTTCGGTCTTAGAATTTTCCCAATCCTCCGCTATACCTGCTAAATTGGCAGGATTTGCGAAGCTGATAACGTTGTTTTCATATGAATCCAGCTTTCAGTGACGGTGCCGACATTCGCGCTTTTCGATTTACACCGGTTTGCCATCAGCTTTCTACATAGGACTCCTCCGCATAATGAGAAACAGCAATGATTGAAAAATACGAAGGTGTTCCATCATATTCTCTTGTTTGATTTGATTGCGCTTACTATGCAACTGCTGGCACCCGTTGGTGTACAGGGCGTGGTACAAATCACTAGTCGTTGTACAGCTTGTATATATGTATAGGTGCTGTGAATATACACACATGAGCTCTGGTTAACTTCAGTTATCATGAATCTTGCCGTTGCCTTACAATGTTCATTGAAGTTTCAAGCGACGTGCGCATCAAAGCGCGGGCTCGCCCTCCACTTCTCGTCATTCGCCAGAGTCCACTTCAAGCGGATCTGCAGTGCGGAGTCTGAATACACCCGGAATCGTGTCTAAAAGTCGTCGGAGAATGGTGCTCATATCAGATCACTTGATATACAGGTCAGTTCGCGGTTATGAGACCAACATTATCGACACGCTGTCGTTTAGGACATTTCCCAAGAAAGTGACAGTGGTAGTAAATGGTGTTCCTGCTACTATAACAGAGTTTCGCCGAAAACCCATATCCTCAGAAAGAGTGCGCAGGCAGCACTACGAAATGAATCAGCAATCGCACTTGATCTCAAAAAGTTAGTCATGCTCATTGTATCACAGTACATGTTTTGTTTTGTTCTTTGTTAAGTTTGGCATAAAGCGCCAAACGTACATCACGCGATTCCCTCGACAAGACAGTTGTTACAGTAAGTTTAAACTTAGTTTAGACGAAAATTGGACTGGCGGGAGTCCGCTTCGCAACGATTCGCGCGGCTTTGCAGTCTGTGTCTCTTCATTATAATCTATCTCGCTGAGCCAATGGCGATGCGGACGCGCTGCTCCACTTGGAATGTTTCGCCTACTCCGGGTTGAAAAAACTGTACGAGCCCATTGCATGCCGATCATTTTGTATTTCGGAAGTGGAAGTTATTCGCGATTAGGTTTGGAAACTATCTCAACCGAAATGTAAGATAATCGGCATGCAGTGGACTCGTAACAGTTGTCTTGTTGGGAGAATCGCTCGGCGATGAAATCGCGTAATATATGCCCTGGCTGTAAGTCGTTGGCAAGCATGTGCCCTTCTTTTATTTTTCAATAAGTTGTAAGCGGTGCAACAGTTTGTGCTTTTGTTCAGGTTTTATTCTTGTACTTTCGTTCAAGTTTTATTCTTTTACCTTGTATCATAATCGCGTTAGCGGAGTTACCGTTAGTGTATAGTTGATTACGTAACACTGTCTCATTATTGAGTACCTATCATAGATATATGCATTTCGCATTTTCTTGCAGTATTGGAAATTCTTTCATGGCAAGGCCGTTAGTTTCCGATAATTTGCATTGTGAAATGGCTATTACATTGAAAATTACCGCAAATGGAATTGTTGTTGCAGAAACGTTATTGGTGTGTAACAAAATCACCCACATTCTTTTGTTCTGTATCATTTCGTTGTCCACTTTGTACGAATTATAAAAATTTTATACGGTGTTTAGTTGTGGTAATACTCTGTCCTATGGTACCAGCTTGTTTACGTTGGTGGTAATCCTAGAGGAATGTAGATCACGGATTCGTTTATCTCATGTTATTCAAAAAATGGGAGCGTATCGTTACACACCCCGTTCATCTTTGGAGTCCTCAGCGAACGCAAGAACGCAAGAGACTGTCCCGGTGTTATTGCTCACATTATTTTGAAGTGATTAGTACTTAAAAGGGAAACAAAACATCAAGGACACCTCGAACGAACTTACATGAAGAGCTATCTGCTCTACGAACTAGCATGGGAACGCCAAAGGTGGACGGTGTGTGTAAGGACACACATGATCATATGAAATGATTCGACTGTAGTTTTTTCAGTTTCTCATCCTTTGTTGAGGTTCACAGACTATTCTCAAATTAGTATTGCTCAATTATTTAAGGTTTGCCAGAAAATTGTAAAATGAGCTCTTTAAAGAGCAAAAAGACACAAATTGAAGAAGGTAAAAAACTAATATTATAGAATAGGCATTAGTAAGCTAGTGTATAAACTAGTGAACCAGCAATCTAAAGGTGCTACTGGCAAGAGCGTTCGCTTCGAGACCGCGCCGCAGTTTCCCGCTATGTGCACATTTTTGAATTGCGCTTACGATTCTTTATATATTAGATCTGACAAGTTTTCTGTACTGCTGCTCCCCGCGCGCGACGTTTTCCATCTGGCAGCCCGCCCATAACGAGCCCCCCCCCCCCAAAAAAAAGAGGGTATTTTGTCATACTATTTTTAGCCCCTCTTACAGTTTAGTCTATTCATACGGTGATAATCTCATTACATACAGTGTTCCTGCCGATGCTATACTTGATTGACTATTGGATTTTAGGCTATGGAACGAAAATGAAAACTCCCATAACAAGAAGGTATCTACAGGCCCCATAAAACCCAATTGCCCACGCGTCGCTTTGAACAGCAACGCGCGGCGCGGCTGGAAACCTTTGGTCCCGAAGCGCTACAGGCTTTTTTCGAGCGACAATGAGCGCGCGTCCTTTCCACACATATTTTTTTAAACTTTTGAGGGGGGCTTTCGTCGAGATATACTTTGCATTGACGATAACAACATGTAAGTTAAAGAAAGATTTTTTGGAATATAGTGAATGCCGACAATCGTTCGCGACGACCGCTCGCTTACGCTGGTGTTCAAGGTACGGCGCGGTCAATTAGGTTTTACATCGCCTATATGTGCAAAATCCAGAATGGAGATGGCAAAGACGAACATGTGTGCGATGACTTGTATGACCATATGAAACCAGTTTGAGTCGCCTTTCGCGGCAACTGGTCCTTTTGCAGTGTTGTTGCTTGTTGGTCCAGGACCAGTAGTCCGCGGAGACGGCCCAGACGGGGAGCAGGCGTTATGGAGCAAAGCCATGCCGCCTTCCCTGTGGCATATCCTGAAGGCCATTTGTGTTGCGTCGCCCTTGATTGCAGCCACAGGAGTAGCGTTGCTACTGCCAGTGGACTGAGCCATTCCCTATTGCTACGCCTTGAGAGATGTTCAAACTGTACAAATGCAATAAAGAAATCAAAAAAAAACATAAATAGTAAGGGTAAACCAAAGGCTGAATCTAAGGTTGAAAGATGTCCCATAGAAGTAGAAGACCTAACTCAACTGCTAGAAGTCGCTAACTGTAGTGTGCAAAAGATAAAATCGGAAGCGGGCTGTCAACTCCGCCCACGCGAGAGGCAGTACTGGGGCCGAATCGAAGGATTGTTCAATCATTCGAATAAATTATTCGAATGCGAATGATTCGAAAAGCCGAATATTCGAAAATCTGAGATTTCGAATAAAATTCGAAAGTCGTATTCGAAATTTTCAGTTTTCGAATATATTCGATATTCGAATATTCGAAAATTTCAACTAAACTCTCAACTTTCGAATAGTGTTCGAAAGTCGAATATGATGGTCTTCAATTCGATCATTCGATGGTCATCGAATATTCGAATCATTCGATGGAACTCCATAAGCATAGCAAGTCACTGTAAGAGTTTCTATTCAAGCTAATTCAATGTGGAGTGTATATGTTTTGCGGTTCTGGCGCAGTGGTCTGTGCAGTAATTTTGATGCGCCATTTCTGTCGCAGTATGTAGCTACTACCGATTTTTCGCTATCCAGGGACGCCAGGATTTTGATGGTTTTTTCCAACAGCGTCTATCACTTTCTTCATGAGCGTCATTGAGTAAACTTTGAAACTTAAACTTGGACTTTAAACTTTTGGATTCACCGTAACACGGCTTTATGACCCCAAAGTGAAATGTGAAAAATGAGTACCATATTTGTGATCAGCGCACCGAATAACCCCCTGTACCAAGGTTTTACAAGATTTCAAAATTTTGTAAATACCGTCACACGATATACCCCCCCCCCCTCCTCCCCATCATGCCTGCTGAAAGTACGAGCAAAATGTATTCCGAAGGACATTTTAGCTGCCCCCTTCTTTTGTACACTATTTCTCTTTCTCTGACCAAACTCGGAGTTATCTCTGAGTTCCACGATAGGCTGTAACGCGCACCAAACTCAGAGTTATCGCAAAGCACAGCTGTGCGTTTGATAGCGCTGTTTCTTGTGCAGGACAATTTCGACGATGTTTTCCTACTAGGATAAACTACCGGTTACGAAGTCTTCTGCCGTATCATCGCTTTCTAGATTTGGCCCATTCAAGCACTTGTTGAGGGGATAAGGAAGGTGCGCGTTAGCTCAGATATAACTCAGAGTTAATCAGAGTAACTGTGAGTTTCGACCAGATCACTACCGACCCTGCAATTTCTTGATACACTGATGTTTTGAGTACTTTTCAAAAAGCACCAAAGCTTAGGAAATTGATTTGTGGACTTGATTTCTGTTAAGAGCCTGAGGTCTAGTGCACGCTGTTCTTCATTCGCAAAGGTGTTAGATGTGAATATGAACGTGAAGATCTTCGTGATATCGTCGCAGCATTACTTCCACTCGACATTGTAAATTGAGAGCTTATTCAAGGTAATTGCATTAGTGACCGGAAGAACTAGTGCTGGGTCAAGAAGTTCGTCCTTTATTGTAGTGTGAGAACAGGGATATGGTAGAACCAGTCAATGTATGGTATTCCAGCAGCGGTCCGGCTTATCGCACTGCCAATGAGGGGAAGATTGCTTATTGCCATGAGTGCCGATTCGAACATTATGTGTATGCACTTATACAGTTCAACAATGTGTATACTATATGTGTATCGTCGAGTTACCGGCACGAGCTGGATGTAGAGTGTCCGCGCAGCGCGCTGAGATATACTTCATGCACTGCATAGTATTAGTCGCATAAAAGGGAACTACAAAGACCCACAGTACTTGTAAACTACGCGCTTGGCCATGTTATCATATCACATATCGAGACATTCACTTTTTCGAATGATATCGAAAGTCGAATGATATTCGAGTATTCGAAATTTTCGATTTTCGAGTATTATTCGATAGTCGAACATATTATAAATAACATAACATATTATTAATAACATATTATTATATTATTATTATATTATAACATATTATACATGACATGTTACAACATATTATACTAACATAACATATCATATTCGAAATTGTTCGATATTTAATTATTCGATAGTCGAGCATATTATAGAGAACGTATTATAAATAACATAACATATTATTACTAACATATTATTATATTATTATTATATTATAACATATTATACATGACATATTACAACATATTATTAGGTCGTCCCGAAAGTATTTTCGCTTTTTTCAAACGGTTGCCACAATCGATGGAACAAATCTTTCTAAGAGATCTTGGTAGCGTTCGATGCAGAATTTCATTCTCTCTCTAATGTCTATAAAACTGTTGCAAAACAGTCAATGAGCTTTCAGAAAATAACCAAAGTCTGCGACCCATGCTTTTTGAGATGGTCATGTTTCACGAATTTTTGAAACTGTCATATCAAGCCTCAGAAGGAGTTCAAGTAACGATTGGATAGAGTAAACTTTATAGAATACAGTATCACTTTTTTCTCCTTTCCATAGCTTGTCATACATTTTTAATAAAATTTTAACTGATGCTACCGATTTCCATACTTAGACAGCTAAATCCTTGTAGAACATCAAAGGAAGAGCAGCTCGGGTGCTATTTGATGCAGCATTTTCTCCTCTTTCTAATGGATGTTTTTTGTTTCCGATTCGTTTAGTTTTCGGGGATAAAATCATCACAATTCATTTCTTTAGGGAGCCCCCAGGCTGTACCCGGAAAACTCCAAATTTGATATTTCGAATCCTTAAACTCTCATTTGCTTTATAAATTCAATATTAAGTCATATATCATCTTGAAAGCTTGAAATTCCGAGTAACTACTGATGTTTGATGCGATTGTGGTTGAGGTGGGACTGCCAAAATCCGATGGCTTTGTTAAAAAATCTTTTAAAAAATTACGGCGAGCTACGAGAAAGAGAAAAAAGAAGTACTGTATTCTACGAGGTTTACTCTATCGAATCGTTACTTGAACTCCTTCTGAGGATTGATATGAAAGTTTAAAAAATTCGTGAAACATGACCATATCAAAAAGCATGGGTCGCAGACTTTGGTTATTTTCTGAAAGCTCATTGACTGTTTTGCAACACTTTCATAATCATTAGAGAGAGAATGAAATTCTGCAACGAACGCTACCAAGATCTCTCAGAAAGGTTTGTTCCATCGATTGTGGCAACCGTTTGAAAAAAGCGAAAATACTTTCGGGACGACCTAATATATTAACATAACAGATCATATTCGAAATTGTTCGATATTCGATTATTCGATAGTCGAACATATTATAGAGAACATATTATAAATAACATAACATATTATTACTAACATATTATTATATTATTATTATATTATAACATATTATACATGACATATTGCAACATATTACATTAA